GCCAATGCGGTATCTTACATATGCCTTTATACACATACATACGCATGTACACACACACACACGCTGGGCCAACACGCATCCTGAGGATCATCGACAGGAGGTCCTCCACCGTGCCGGCGCCGACCACGCGCCTCAGGACGTCCGGGGGCAGGCCGTGCAGCAGTGCGCCCGGGGGCGCCGCGGGCGCGGTCTTCCCCCGCAGCCGCCGCCGCGGGGGGCGAGCGGAGGCCATGGGCGCTCTCCCGCGCGGAGAATCCACTGGTCAAGTTGGCCGAGCGGCTGCGGGGCCAGGGAGAGAGGTTTTTGTTGTTGTTGCTGCTGCTGTTGTTGGTGTTGGCGTTGTTGTTGGTGTTGGCGTTGGCGTTGGTGCTGGTGTTGGTAATGTTGTTGTTGTTGTTGAACATTATTAATTCTAAAGAATAATTATTGTTGGGCCCCCTGGTGCACGCCCCCCCTGCGCCGCCTAGGCCGCAGCTACATTTTCATCACTTTCGTGGGGAATCCTCAGGTAAAACGATGTGATCCAGATCCGGTTGTTTTGTTGTAATCCGTTTTCCCTTGCAAAAAACACTATAAAATGACATTTCTTGTTCTACTATAATCAAATTTCAAGAATCCCTTGCAAAAAATAAGGTAAAGTGGACATTCGCGCGCGCAAGACGAAATCCTTCCAAAAGCTTAGTGTTCGGAGCGATTTTAACATAAAAACATCAAAAAACCAATGGTTTTTCAACAAAAAAATGTCAAAATCTCATCCCGCGCGCTCTTGCGGATTCGTAGGAAACCCAACACTTTTTAAACATTTCTGTCAAACGGGCTTTTGCGAGCAACTTTTTCGAACTTCTGCAACAACGGTTGCGCACCTGCCAGGGCCATCATCCCTGTCAAATAATACCATGCGGGACACATTCGTTTTTTCTTCGCGCGCGCACGCCGTCGTCGTCGGCCGCGGGGCCCTGAATAGTAGCCACGGTCGTCCGCATGCCACGAAGTGAAGTGTCCGAACGTCATAGGGCGGGAAGCTGGGTGTGGGTGGTGGCGAAGAGTCGTTTGGAAATTTGGTAGAGCTTGAACCGGCCCCCCCACAAAGTGGGGGTATTGCCCGCCTCCTATGAAAACCCTGGCACTGGTGAGAACGGAGTGTCCCCAGTCTTAAATGATTGTTGTTGTTGTTGTTGTTGTTGTTATTGTTGTGGTTGTTGTTGTTGTTTGTTGTGCTTGTTTTGTACTCTTCATTAAAACTAGCACTCCTTGCGGCCATTACGGTCAGGGAGAGAGGGGAAGAGGCAGGGAGATGAGAGGATTGGGGGGGTAGGGGGGCGTGGGGAGGGGGAGGGGGCAAGCTAGGTGCGCTCGCGTCATATCTGACGTCCTACCCCTCCCTCCCATCCCTGACCATGGCGTAGATCTCCTCTCTATTCGCACAATCGGATGTCGCAGCATGGCATAGCATTACATTGCATAGCATGGTGTTGAAGATCAACGCGTAGCATGACATCATAGCATGGCGTGGCGACGCCCCAAAGTGGGGGGGGCTTCTGCGGCCCCCAAAATCAAAGACTCGACTCCGAATGTGCAATCATCTCCGATGTTTTATTCCGGGATGCCATTTTCTAGATTCTAGATTTTGGGGCTTGTTTGGAAGGACCGAAAACCATGCCGTGGCATGGCGCTGGTAAAAATGACGCCAACGCTGCAGCGGGAACACGATTCGGAACGAGCGGAAGCGCAGAAATGAGGCCAACGCTGCAACGGGAGCACGATTCGGAACGAGCGGAAGCGCAGAAATGAGGCCAGCGCTGCAGCCGGAGCATGATTCGGAACGAGCGAAAGCCCGAAAATCAGGCCAGCACTTCAGCGGGAGCAACATTTTGAATAAAAGCCTAAGCGGAAACCCAACTCCCGAGAATTTCGTGTGTATCAAAAGAAGGTGGAGAAGGGCCGGATATCTTCCGGACGTCATCAGGGGAGAGAGGAGAGTATTACTCAGATTACGTAATTGTACAAGGGCGAGGCCTGAGATGCTGGCGTTGCCATGTTTTCACACCGGGCGTTTTCGCTCAAATTCGGGCCCTGGGGCCCTCACAGATCGATCCGGCTGGAAAAACTGACGCAAAAAGATGGGGTGCGGGGTTTCGGTCTCGTGATTTTCTGCGATGTTTCATTTTTTTCTGCAAGGCCAGATCTCAAGGAGTGAGGCGTGATGGATGGGGGGGAGGGTGGCGATGGGGGAGAAAAGGGGACGTTGGACGGGGGGGAGGCGGCCGGAAGTGGGAGGGACGAGCTGCTGCTGAGCAGAAGGCGGCGCGCACACGCATGAGGGAGGGTGAGGAAGAGGCGGGGGAGGAGGGAGGACGGAGAAAGACCTTGAAAGGCGCAATGGACTCCTGGGCGCCTACCTTTTTTGATTGGCCCAAATTCTGGAGGCACCACCCTGGGTCGGGGACAGGGGGCTGCCAAGAAAATCGTTGAGCAGACCTGGCGAGTCTATTTCACATACCTCACCGAGCCCTGAGTGTGCAGAGTGCGGTGTAGGGGGACGTGCCCAGTGGCCTGTTGAGTAGGGGATGATAAATCCCCACCCCCTGAACACAAACGTACCTGGAGAAACCGGGGTTGCACTCCTCAGCATGTTAAATTCGTGTGGGGGGACGTGGGGGAAACTGGCGGGATGGAGGCCTGTGCGTCAAAGAGACAGGAGGCAAGAGACAAAACCCGATGCGTTCAAGAGGGCGGCCGCGCGCGGGGCCGGGACGAGGCGCTGAAGCGCAGCTCGGAAAGCCACTTGATGCATACGTTTCACTCCGTTCCCACTCTGATTGGTTCTCTGCGATAGACATCCACATGCTTACGCCACCGTGTCTCTGCACCATCGGGGGGGGCCCATGGACCACAAATACATCGGCGCAAGTCCCAGGATTCCCTAGATCAGTCAATGTTTCTATGATTTTCGTCTTCCCATCAACTTCCAATGTTTTCCGAGTCTTTGGAATCGGCATTGATTTCCGTCTGTGATTTTTTCCCCTCCTGACCATCGCTGTGCGTCATATGTCGTGAAACAAAGAAAACGGCAAGGACAACCTGTATACAGAGTCCCCGAGGCCAGTGGCCGGCTGAGAATTCAAATTCCGAGCTCCTACAACTACGCAACGGCGCCTCGAATCCACATGGGAAAAACTCCGTGATGTTTTTGGAGGATGACCAGCGCGGGTAGGTCAGACGGCATGTGCGGGACAGGAGGGGGAAACAAACCATGACATATACATAGCAACCGAGAGATCCGAGTTATTATGTTTACATCGTCACTTTTGGGGAGACGTAAGTTGAGAGCGCGTGAAGTGATACAACCTTGGGTCGTCTTGGAAGGCCTTCCCCTATAATCCCGATAACTCAAGAGCATAATCCCCATGTATTCCAATTATTCCCGATAATGCATAACCCTGCATGTACCATGGACGCCAAACAGTAAACCATGACACATCGCGGACACTGTGGACGAGCATCACCCGTACCGTACATGACCTACATTCGCATATCTGACTCATACATCCCCAGGGCGTAAGTGTGTTCCTCTTGGGCCCGAAACGACGGTTTGAAGTCTTGAACCGACGTGTATGAGATAACAGCCGTCGGACCCCATGAAGGTCGAGCGGATCCAACTGCGGTTATGGTTATTATTTCGGTGGATCAGATTTCCGTCCGCGCGTATCCGACTTTGGATTTTCTGGATCCGCGTCCGGCCATATCTTTTACGGCAAATCCGATTCCTACCCCCTTTAAAATTCATAGTATTGAGCTAAAACGGGGAACCGGACGAAATCGGATCCGCGGACCCCCAGCCCCACCCTTGTTAAGATTCTACGGGGGAAGGGGGTTCGGTCATCAACGTCCCAGGATGGGGCCTCTGCTGTCTCATGCACTCCCTTGAACTTTGGCGGCGCCGATGACGAGGATACCTGTCGAACTCATCGTCGCCATTTTTACTCAAGAAGAAAATCTCTCGTCCTGCGTAAATATTACACATGGTATACCTACACAACGATTTCTACTGAACGTCCTGGATTATTGGGATCACAACCTAGGACTAACGGACCTGCCGGAGACCTCCCGGAGCCCGACCTCCTGGAGTCCCTTCCCGATAACTAAAACATGTGAACACATAATGTTTCTATTCATGTCCACGGATCCACCTCCCCGACCTGACCTCCCGGAGACCTCCCGGAACATTATGCCCGCTAATCCCAGAACGCTGTCTCCCTTAAACTACACTATGCTGGTGTGCCCCTCGTGGCAGCATGATTGCGATGATTCGTGATGATGAGTACGACGATGACGATGATGGTGACCGGGTAGCCGCTGACAAGGCCTGTAAGTGGTTGGTAGGGTATACAACCTGTTGTCTTTATTGACCTATCATCGCCTTCATTGGTATATTAATGTCCCTATGATCGTCTATGACTGTCCCTATTATCCGCGCGCCGACCTTGAAACAGAGGTCTTTGGATCACTTCACGCGCGCTCAAGACGTAATACTCGGGTACGGGGGACGCGGGTTGGCCTGACGTGGCCATCGGAAAAATGACGAGACGTAGTCGGAAATTTGACGCGAGCCCACGCTGCAGACACCCAGCGAAAACTGGACCGTCAAAGTCCAGGACGCGCTCCGCAAAAAGCGTGAGCCAACCCGAGTTCCAGTGTACTCGAGTCTTACGTTTCCCCCTGATCTGTCCCCCTGCGCGAAAGGGAAGCTCGCCGTCGCTCGGACGTCCAGTCCCCGTGCATCCTTCGACTCCGTGCGCGCATTTCCCCGCTTGCTGACCCAACGTGCTCCCCGATGGCCCTCGCCCAACAAACAAGGCACACGCCCGAGCTACGCCGAGGAAGCGGGGCTGAAGGCTGCGTGGAACGGCAAGGCGCCCCTCTCCCTGGAGCAGCTGCTGCGGCGCCGGGCGCCGCGGGCCCAAGCCTGGGCGGCGAGGCCCCCCCCCCCCCCCCGCGGCCTCCGCGCGCGGGACGTCGCCGGCCGCGGCGGCCTCCGCGAGCTCCTGGCGAGCGCGCGCGCGCGCCGAGGTTCTGCGACCACTCGGGGGAGCCTTCCGACGCTGATCGACCCTGGATCGGCGCCAGTCGACGCTGAATCGGCGCTGTCTCGTCGACTGCCAGACGCTAACCGGACGCTACTGCACTCTACAAGGATGACATTGCGGGGATACACCAGGCTCCCATGATTTGCCACTGGATTGAAGGGTGCAAAAGTTAAGGGTTGTTGTTGGTTGTTGAGCTTCGGAGATTGATCGGGCGTTGGCGGGACTTGGTTTAGTGGGACCTGGTCTGGTGATGTGCACCAGGGGACGGCGCCCACCCCGCCCCATGCCACTAATTAACTGGATCTGTCGTCACCCGAAGAAGCAGTAGCCATGGTAGACCTGGTTTAGTGATCATGGTCAATTCTGTGGGCTTCGGGTCCCAATCACTAACCGGCTCCCCTGGGTCGGGCAGGGAGCCGGGCATGGCGTTCGTAGGAAGGGCCGCAGTTGTGGGGAGGTGCGTCGTCGTGGAGAGGGGCGTCGGGTCGTCGTTGTCGCTGTCGTGGTCGGTAGCGTCATAGGTGGGGAGAGGCCTCGGGCCGTCCGTCGGCGTAGGCTTTCGTCGTGGTCGTCGTCGCGTCGCCGTCGCTGCGGGCGTCGTCGTCGTCCTCGTCGGGGGGGCCCGTCGGGGGGCCCGTCGGCTGCGTCGTCCGGTCGCGTCGGGTCGGCGGTGCGGCGGGCGGCGTCGGGTCGCCTTCGCCAAGCCCTGCCTGGCTCAATCCTGTGGGCTTCGGGTCCCAACCAATCACGAATCGGGTCCTGGCTCTACCCGAACCGACTGCGGCCAGCTCGTGTCGCGACGACCCCGTCGTGGCAACCGCGTGAATCGTTCAACCTTCTGCGGTCGGCGGGTCTGCCGGTGCCAGATGGCAGCAAACGGGATGGTTCCTCGCCATCGCTCGGACGTCCATTCCCTGTGCTTTTGTCGGTTTCGTGCGTGGTTTTTTCGCCAAATGATCAAGGACGCTCCTCGATAGTTTTCGCCGAAGGAAAAATGCACACGTCCGAGCGATGCCAAGGTTCTGGACCGCCGGCGGCGTTCAACCTTGCACGCCCGGGGCGGGGTCGCCGCCGCGTCGACACGAGAAACACAGCTGCCGTGAATGCTCATGCCAGGAACCTCTCTTGAGCCGCTCGCTCCACTCCTGCATCGACTCCGAGACGAGTGTCCGTCGACTTTGCTCTCTGGAGTCGGCGTTGGCTGAGAAACCGAGCCACGACAACCGAGGGCGTCTTAGCAACACTCTGCTAACTGTGGCGCGATCTCTACCACTCAGCCGAACTCACACCAGTGACTGTACAAAGAGCAGTGCCCAAAGGAAGGACACGAGCTCGCAAGGCAGGCGTTTGGACGCCTGGATGAAAACGCACAGATGCAGCGACCGACACTGTGAACCTTGTCACAGACCAGATCTGTCTGCCACCGCCGGGCTCTCCTGACCCAGCGAGGCGTGGGCTCCACCATTGCCTGAGTGGTTCTCTCTGCAGACAGTTCGGAGAGCACGCCGGGATCCTTTCGGCGAGGACGCCCCTGGAATCACCACGCCCGCGGGCGCGTATGGCTCGCTGGTGGTGCACGTCCTCAGGCCCTCTTGCCACCTCGACGGCCCCTCGCGCTGCCGCCAGCCTCGGCGCGCGGCTCCGACGGCTTCTGCCGAGCCAGCTGGATGCGGCGCTCCCTCTGGCGACGCTTGAGCTCGCCCGGCTCGCACAGGTGGCAGAACTGGCAGCCGACCCCGTTCGCACAGCCCTTGGTGAACGCGTGGGCGCACGGCCTGCACGCCCCCTGGCAGTGGAGTGCCGAGCCTTGACGGATGAAAAGACGACCCTACCCTGGATTATAAGTGCGTGGTCTGTAAACCTCCTGGGACCCCCCCAAAGCCTAGAGCCGCCAGGACGCCGCACATCACGCAGGGTTTGCCCTGTCAGCCCGCAGGAGGTTCAGCGCACAGCGCCTCGTAATCCAGGGTAGGGGCGTTTTTTCTGCCCTTGAGAGCCGACGGTGGGGCACTCTGGCGATCCCAGCGGCGCGGTGGCGGGGGCAGACGGCGCTGGCGCGGCCTCGGCCACCAGCGCGGCCGGGGGCGGCGCCACTGGCGGAGGCGGCGGCATGAAGGAGAGGGGCGCCCAGAGCGCCGGCGCCACGGGCGAGTCCCAGGCCTCGTCCTCGGCGCGTGACATGAACGCGACGGGCGCCGGCAGGAAGCCGTCCTTTAGAAACAAAAGCTGCATGAACATCGGAGTTTGGGGGTTGGAACGGAAGCGACCCCAACATGGAAATCGGTTTCGGTGTCGGTTCGTGTCGTGCGTGCGGGCGAGGCGAAGCTGCGCGAGTTCCATCCATAGCAGAGGCCATACATTGCCAAAACGGCCACCCCCCGAGCGCCAGGCGTGGGCTCCGGCTGTCCCGGCGGTTGTCCCAATGGTTGTGGTTGTCCCGATGGTTGTCCTGGTGGTTGTCCCGATGGTTGTCCCGATGGTTGTCCCGATGGCTGTCCCGATGGCTGTCCCGATGGCTGTCCCGATGGTGAAGCGATAGATAGGTAGGTATGTATGTATGTATATATATATACACTAGAACCATCGCGCGCGCTTCTCGCGCGCTCAGGTTCTAGTTGAGGTCACCGCTCAGGTGCGATGCCCGCGACGATTATTACTACGAAGACGGCGGCGTGCACTCCGCTCATGTTCTCACGCCATGTTCCGGAGGAGCGTTCCCGGACATTGGGGCGCCAGAGGCTCCCCCGCTCTTCCCCCCTCCTGGACTATCCTGCCGAGGAACTCTTGGGTTGCGTAGAGCTGGTCTTGCGGGCTCCCTGGGGCTCTCTGGGCCCGCCTAGGGCTGTTTGGGAGCGGACCTGGAGGCGCGCTGGACCCTATTGGAGCGTCGGAAAGCCGAAAATACAAGAAGGCCAAGATCCTCCAATTCCTATGTAAAATGAAGGATGTTGGCCTGTTGGGACCCTCTTGGGGGTGCTCCAGGAGGCGTCTTGAGCCATGTTTGTAGCCTCTTGGGAACTACCTGGGGCCTCCTGGGGCTCTCTTGAGGCGGAAGCCCTGGGTTTTTTGGACGCGGTCCGTCTCTTGGACACCTCTCGGGCCTGTTTTGGGGCACTCGTGGGCTGCCCTGGGCTCTTCTTGGGCCGCCTTTGGGCTCTCCGGGACCGCCTCGGGGCGGCCTTGGGAGCTTCTGGAGCTGTTTGGTGGCGGTCTCGGAGGCCTCCTGGGCCGCCTAGGAGCGTCGGGCAGCCGCAAAGATCAAAGGCCAAAACCCTTCCAAAACTATTGTAAAACCATCACTTGTTGGCCTGCTGGGGCCCTCGTGGGAGCGCTTTTGGAAGCGTTTGGAGCCATGTTGGAGGACTCTTGGGAGCTGCCAAGGGCCACCGGGGTCACTGTTAAGGCGGGAGCCCTGGGTGTTCGGTACGCGGTCCCTCTCTTGAGCCCTTCTTGGGCTTGTTTTGGAGCCTTCTTGGGCTGTCGTGGGCGCTTCTTGGGCCAGCGCTGGGCTCTCCGGGGCCGCCTTGGGCTTGTCTTTGGGGCCTCTGGGGCTGCTTGGGGGCGGACCTGGAGACCTCCTGGGCCGTCTTGGAGCGTCGTACAACCGAAAAAAACAAAAGGCCAAAATCCTTCCAAAACCGTCGGACAACCGTCAATTTTGGCCTCCCGGGGCTCTCTTGGGAGTGCTCCTGGAAGCGTCTGGAGCCATGTTGGAGGCCTCCCGAAACCTCTACCACGTGCTTCGGCGACATGGGTCGAAGATGGGAACCATTCGTGGTGCAGAAGCATCACCAGAGGGTCCGTCCAGAGCCGCTTGGGAAACGCCCCGGAGCGGCTCTGGAGAGGCCCCGGGGGGGGGGTCCCCCATGGCGAGTCGAGGCAGCTGGCCAGAGGCCCCTCGGCCCCGTACCCTGATATCTGATATACATATATATATATATATAAATATATATATATATATATATATATATATATATATATACAGATGTGCATATATATATATATATAGATCGAGTCATTGATATGTATATCGGTATACATGTGTATATGTATAGTTAGTGTTACATGTTGTCCCGATGGCTGTACCGATGGTTTCTAGATTTGCATATATATATATATACATATATATATGTATACGTATTTAGAACGACAACTATACACACGTGGGGATATACACACATGTATGTATACAACATATATATACACATATATGTGTATATATATGAATATAAAAAGACATACATATAGCTATATATATAAAAATGTATAGAGATATCTGTGAACATCGATAGTGATCTATCTATATGATCACATATATATATGTATTTATAGAGAGAGAAACATATGTAATGCTTGAGTGATCGACTGATCTATCGATAGAAGGCTGCATACATACATAACAAATCGATATATATATATACACATATATAGGGTTGTCCTGAATCGATACCTAGATAGATAGGTCGATCGATACATGGGCAAATGTGCACGGCAATAAAAGAAAAAAGAAACCACCGAAGAACCCAAAACCATCGTAGATCGACCGCCTCCCCCTTCCCCCCCCACCCTCCTCATCACCCGTAAGGTGGTCCCATCCGTAAAATCTCAGAGGTCCGCGCTCACTTCTTGGATCGGCGCCGGACCCCCTCACTGGCGCGCGGAGCGCCGCCAGGGGGGCCCAGCGCCGATCCGAGAAACCCGCGCGGAGCTCCAGGAGTTTATGCTTGTGCCGTTTCGTCTACTTCGAGTCCTCGTCCTCCTCGGCGCGCTGCGAGCAGACGGCCGGCGTCGGGACGAACTCGTCCTCCTCGGCGCCGCCAGCGTCGGCCTCGAGCCGGGCCGCCACCTCGGACAGGGCCACCCAGGCGTCGGGCAGGCCGAAGCCGCTGGAGGGGCAGGAGCGGGCCCGGCGCTCCGCCAGCGCCCCGTCCACCATCGAGGAGAGCCGCCCGGCCACGGTGTCGATGAACGTGTTGCGAACGGTGAACTCGGGCGCGGGGCAGGCGAACTGCGGCAGCGCCCCGGGGGGGGCCGCCGAGCTGGCGCGCGAGGAGGCGCCGGCAGAGGTGCTCCTGGACGCGGAGGAGGTGGCGGGCGCCTCCTCCTCCTCCCCCTGGGAGCCGCCGCCGGGGCCGCGCGCGCCCGGGCACCCGCTGCTGGGGCACGAGCGCGCCGCGCGCGGCGCGAAGACCGAGGAGCCCAGCAGCGAGGAGGGCTCGAGGTGCGCCGGGACCACGAACGTGTTCTTGACCAAGAAGGGCAGCGGCTCGTCTGGCAGCGCGGAGAGCGGGGAAGGGTACTCGATCTCCGGCAGACCAGCGGGCGCGGAGCCGGCGGCCGCGGGGCCGGCGTGGGCCGCGAAGAGCTGGGACATCCTGGTCCGCGTGGGAGAGGGCGTGTGCGTGTGCGCGCGCGCGCTGAATAAAGTGCTCTCTCTCTCTCTCTCTCTGAGGTCCTGAGCCTTGAGCCAGTCAAGTGCCCGTCGACTTGACTCGAACTTCGATCGAGCTCGAATCTAAGTCGAGTGGGACTGGGATCCAACCGATCCGTCAGGTGGGCCCCAGGAAGGTCACACAGATGGGCATATGAGATCTGAGATCGAGGTTCGAGGATCGACGTGTTTGGTCGTCATCCGTGTGGGCACCCCCAAAAGGGACCTTCTGCGAGGATCGAGGCTCTTGGACGCCGTTCGCCCCGTGGAGGCCTCTCGGAGGCCTCTGGAGACTCCGTCGTCGAGGCTCGGAGATGGATGACCAAGGCTCGATGTGATGCACGAACAACGAACCCTTACCCCTTGAACCTATACGCGCTGGTCGGAAGAAGTCGGTCGAAACATGAAGTAGGAAGGTGTTGGAAGTGGATTGGGCTTCCGCTCGCCCCCTAAAGAGGAGGGACGAAGGAAATCAGTCGATCCTCGAAGTAGGAAGGCGCCCAAAATAGATTGGGATCCGGGAATCCAAACATACCTACTTTCAACGACCGGCGTGTACTGTCAAAACATGGCGACACGCGCCCCGTCGCCATACGAGTGTTTGTGCAGACTGCCCCAAACGATGGCTGTCAATCAACTGCATATACTAACGCATAATGTCAGGGCATCTGGCCACATGTAGGGTCAGTATTGGCCATCCTGCCAGCTGCATGGGGGCCGATTTAGCGCATCGTTGTTTAGGGGCGCACCAGAAAAAAAAACGAGTGATAGTTGTTGAACCGGGGGTGCCTCGAGCGACGACCCCCGTCCGACACTTTACACATATGACATCATCGGTGGACTGCTTAACATCGGCATTCGCGGAGACTTACAGTATCGCGATAGTTGTCAGCTGGCCCATGACGAGGTTCGAAGACCGAGGACACCAGAGGCCTCTAAGGACCTCCCGATTCCCCTGTGGACCTCTGCAAGCCGTCAGAAACTTTACAGAGGCCTTCGGAAAGGAACGCCGCCGCTGGCGTAGTGGTTCGTCGTCCGTGTCGTCGTCGGTCGTCCTCCATCGTCGTCGTCGTCGTCGTCGTCGTTGGGAGCCCTCAGGACCGCCCACGAAGCCCGAGAAACCCAAGGAGGAGATCGCGTGCCCAATACGCATCGATGACATCCGATAGATCTTAAACGCCTCGGCACAGCAGAGCCAAGAACTAAGAATAGCGATCCAGCCAGAAAGTAGAGCTCGAAACTGCGGGGTAGTTGCGTCTCCACGATGCCACACAGGACCATGTACCCTGGATGCTCCAGGAGACCCCAGGATAGCCCAATATCCCACAGGACCGCCAAGTGTACTCCAGGAGACCCGAGGAAAGACTATCCTTGTCCAACGCGCGTCGGAGTCACCGTCACACGTCGGGATAAAGTAATAAAAGGAGGCCTTCTAGATGGGGTCCGAGTGGATGGGGTCGGGGGATCGCGCCGCATCACCAATGCATCGGCGATGCATCGGCGACGTCGGCGATGCATCTGGCTCCAGATCGAACCGCATCGTCGATGCGTCGGCAATGTGGAGCGATCCTCCGATCCCATCTATTCGGACCCCCTCGTAGGTCGAGAGTGATGACATAATAAAAGTAAGTCAGAAAACGTGCCAAGCCTTTGAGAGTATCTAGCGGCCCTTGCTTCTTCAACCCGTGCGGAACGTCAGGAAAATGTGGGAGCCCTGGAGACCTTGGAAATCGTGAAACGTGTCACTCAGTATCATGAAATCTTGCTCCTTTTGATTGGGAGGCCCAGAAACTACAGCTGGGACAAAAGCAAGCAAAACCAACGAGCTTTTTTTTTCGACTGCCGAGCCGCCCAATGTGTAGAATCCGTGGGCACGAGTTCGCGGCCATGGCAAGCATCCCGTGCAGAGTTCCTCTTATCAAACGGGGAAGGGAGTCAAAACGTGATGGGCGGAAAAATGTGGCCTCTGTTCGGCTGGCTAAGGCTGACTGGGCAAACTGTAGGGCCCAGTAATTACTGGCACTGTTCGGCTGACTGCGGCTGACTGGGCAATCTGACTGGGCACTCTGGCGAGGGCCTCGCCCGCCCGCAGTTACGCTCAGGCAGCGGGGAAGTCATCGCACTCGGTTGGGAGGTGGAGCGGCGTGCCCTCCTCGCGGGCCGCACGACTGCCGGAGCAGCGGCAGTATCAGGGCGCCGACGGCGGCGCCCGTGGTAACTCCGGGATACTGCTCTGGTGCCGCGCGCCGCTTCTGCACCATGACGGCGACGGCCACACCGACGGTCGCGCAGACGGTGGCACCTGCGGCAGCGACGCAGGTCAGGGGAACTTCGCCCCAGGCGAGCTGCGGGAGAAGGCCCGCTTCTGGGTGGCGCCGCCCTCCTTCTCCTCCCGCCCAGCGGGCACGCTCACGAGCGCCGTCGGTGGTGGCGTGGCGCTCGCCGCGGGCGAGGTCCTGACCGCATCGGTGATGGCTGCGTTCCTGGAGGTGGCAGGAATCGCGGCCGCCGAGATCGGGAGGGGTTCGTTGGTGGCCCAGCTGGTGCAGACTCCCTCGGCGCTCTTGCAGCGGCCCGCCGCGCACCTGCACGCACCGAGGTCGGGGCTGCTGCTGGTGCACACCTCGCCGTGGCCCTTGCAGGGGACGTCGCTCGAGCACGCCTCCCTGCTCTGGTCGACGTCGCAGCACTCGGGGACCTCTGGATCACGGAGGCTGCACGCGCCGTCCTTGGCGTAGAACCCAGGCTTGCACATGCACTTCCCGGCCGGCGAGCAGTACGTCGGGCCTCGCCAGCCATGGCAGCTCAAGAATATGCACGAGCCTCCCGTGTCCGCGCTTAACTCGGCGCTCAGAGTCTGGTCAATGCTGGCGGAACTCCTCGCCGAAGAGTTCGTGCTGGGCTCGTCGGCCGTGACGTTGACGCAGACTCCCGAAGCATTCTTGCAGAGGCCCTTCTTGCATTTGCACGCGCCGAAGTCATCGCTGGTGCACTCCTCTCCGGGGCCCCGGCAAGGGACGGTCTTTGAGCATGACTGCTCGCTCTCGTCGATGTCGCAGCCTGGAGGCACCTCGGGGTCACGAAAGCACACGCCGTCCTTGTTGCAGTACCCAGGCAAGCACATGCACTCGAGAGTAGCCGAGCAATAAGTGACTACCTACCAGACCACCCCAACCCAACCCGAAGACCCGAATTTCGGGTTGGGGGGGGTACGGGTTCCATATGTGTTTTCTCGATGTTCCACGACCCCCCCCAACTGGAAATCGAGGATAAATTGGGGCCTTCGGGTTGGGTTGGGGTGGTTTGGTGGGTGGTGAATAAGTCGGGCCCTGCCGGCTGTCGCACCCCGACCAGATGCACCATGTTCCCGTGTCCGCGCGGCACGCCTCGCAGGCGCCGAGCCCGAGCGCAGGCGGCAGGCCGCCGCCGCCCCCGCGGCGCGGCGCCGCCCCCGTGCCGCGCGGCGGCGCGGCAGGGCGGCGGAGCGCCTCCGCGGCCGCGGGCGCCGCCGCCCCCCTCCGCGGGCCCGCCGACGCCGAGCCCCCGCGGCCCGCCGGGCCCTCCGCGGCCGCCCGCCGCCGCCGGCCCGAGGAGGGCCCGGGCCCCCGCGGGGCTGCCGCCGGCGGCCGCGCCGCCCCGGGCTGCGAGGGCCGCCGCGCAGGCCAGGAGCGCCAGGGTCCGCCGCGCGCGCTCGCGCCAGAACGGCTTGAGCCAAGCAAAGCCAACGAGATAATCTGGCCCCGCCTCGTCCTGTCTGGAGCGCTGGGGACGGCCCCCCCGCCCCATCCCACTGACCAGAACTGCCGCCACCCGAAGAAACACCAGCCACGGCAGACCTGGTTTTTACTGATCCTGTCTCATTCCCTACCTAGGCTCTGCCTAGAGGGTTCTTACTTTGTTTGCTTAAAGGGGCCGGGCAGTGTAAAACGCCCCGGGCGGTTCCCCCAGTCCCCGCCCCGCGGTTCCCCCAGTTGCGCCCCCTAGCTTTAGCTTTAGCTTTAGCTTCAGCTTTAGCTTTAGCTTTAGCTTCAGCTTTAGCTGTAGCTGTAGCTTCAGCTTTAGCTTCAGCTTTAGCTTAGCTTTGTCTCAGCTTGAGCTTAGCTTTAGCTTAGCTGTAGCTGAGCTGTAGCTTAGCTTTAGCTTAGCTGTAGCTTAGCTGTAGCTTAGCTGTAGCTTAGCTGTAGCTTAGCTTCAGCTTAGCTTTAGTTTAGCTTTACCGTTACTGCTAATGCTGCTTTCCTAGGGGCTCCAACTCCTAGGTAGGGTCGCACTGGGATAATTTCTGGGGCATGGAGACCCAATCACTAACAGGCTCCCCTGACCCAGGGTGCTGGCTATACCGCTGAAAATCGGTCCCCGGACCCCTCCCATGGTCCATTTGGTGCAGTGTTTCCTCCCGGATTAGTTCTCCACGGCTCGGGGGCCGAAAACGGCAACCAGAGGCCGAGAAGGCCAAAAAACCTTCTCTGACCCAGCACCTCTGACCTGCCCGCCCTTCTCGCTGGTCGGAGCCATTGCCGGGCCACCTCGGACCCCCCCGACGGCTCCAACCTCCTGGTCCTCGGCCTGTTGGGCGGCCGCCTCGCGCATCCCCGGCGCAGGATCACTGACCAAACTGCCAGGTCTGGGAGCGGGCCGCCTTTGAACGGTCCGTGTGCCGAGGGATTGCCAAAGGGGGGCACCCGTCGCCCGGGGATACTTTTGATTGGCGGCTCACAAAGACAGATCCAGGGTGCAGGGGCGCATAGGCCGCGGCAGCGGTCGCCCGGGGATACGCGTCGCCTGGGGAGGCCCCGGGGATCCCCAAAGGGGGACTCCCGGCGCAGGAGCGAGGAGGGGGGGCGAGGGAGGGAGAGGCGGAGAGGCGGAGGGCGAGGGGTCGGCGCCCTGGGAGGAGGCGACCAACGAGAATCCCAGCTTGACAAGAAAGCTAAGCGGAAGCA